AATATACGAAGTTTGAGCTATCAGCCAATTTTTCACGCTGCCGTTAAGGTCTTGACTTAGGTAATGGAAGTATATTTCAAACAGTAGGTATATATGTACACACATACTTTTTCCTATAATAAATTAAAAAAATGCCTGGTACACATTTAAAAGGAATTGCAGACATGCGTTTGGCTTACGAGAAGCCGCAAAATTACATACAACACGTACAGTCAGATCCACAGCCACATAATAGTGGCATGGTGACAACCACTGCAATATATGAAAATCGTACGTGATGTCAAACTGGCATACAAAATGATAATATAAACACCATTTACACCTGCACATGGCGAACAATGGACAGGCAATGAGTTGCATCTATAGAAAACGTAGCCCGTAACGTCCACAGGTACTCGTAAAGAGAATTAGCAAAACAAACGAAAATGTATTGATATATGTATGTAAATACATACAGGTATAAGTATTCGTCGATTTGTGGTGTCTAAAAATAGCAAAGAATTAWTCATACATTGATTTGTTCTTATACAAAGCCACATACAGACTTTCGCGCAGCGCGTGGAAGCGTGATGAAATATTTACAAACACTACAAGTCACTATCAATGGGCTTTGCTAAGAATGTGGTGGCGGCTTACTACGCAGCAAGCAAAAGCTGATACGCGTTTGTGATAAAGTTGTACACATGAAAGGAAAAATATTACAAATTAACGTACATACATAAGGATTAGAAAACCAAAAATAATATGTATGTATGTATGTGTAATACATGGGTATATATAAGCACATGTTTATTTGTCAGTCCGGGTTATTTTTGATCGGTTGGTACGAACTTGTTGATTTTTATGGTACGAATTTCATTTCAAAGTGAGCGAACATCCAAATAATGTATAGTAAGTATATATGTATATATGTACATATGTAGTTATGTGTATAATAAAGTATGTAGCTGCATAACCGGTTGAAGCACGCCCATAAATATGTGCCAAATATGCCGCATACGCTGAAAATATCGCTAAAACCGGCTGTTCTATGTTTCATGCATACATATACAGATAACCAAGTATATATGTACATACATACATAAATCAATTATTTATAAGAGAAGCAAAAAATGTACACTCTGGTGGCAGTAGAAAAACATCATGAATGAATTATTATGAAAAATGTGTCTGTACCAGTTTTTAGTTGTTCTGTGCGCGATTATGTACATATGTGTATAGATGTATAAATACTTTATATTATATGCTTATAGCGTTCAATAAACTTTGCTGTTAACAAGAAAATTGAGGTAAACGTAAAAATTAYTGCAAGTGCTAAAGAATCAACGAGAAGTAAACAAAAGTCAAGTTGAAAAGWGCAAAATGAGGCGTGTTGTTAAAACGAAAATTTTGTACACAAAGTGTTAGATAAAAACCGAAATGCCAAAAAAAAAATGTTTACATTACGAGTGGCGACGTCTCAAGCAGTTGCTGCCACGTTGAGGCAATGCCGGAGCGAAGAGATCTAAAACAAAACGCTACGCCAGATATGTTTACACAAGACCAAAAGCACTGCTACCAATGTTAATAGTTGAGCCTAGAAAAATTGACATCGAAAAACACATGCTTACAAGTGGAAAATCAATAAAAAAAAAATAAAAAATAAAAAAAAAGGTAATAACAAATACAGCAGAGGCGAAAATTGCCGCGTAATGTCAATAAATAATGATAAATTGAGCATAGTGTGGGAAACAGATTTAATAAGCTGACTGATTGACAATAAAAAAAACCTACGTATACGTACCCTACGTAATTTCGTAAAATTTGAGCATTGCATACAAGAACTACATTTTGATCGGTTATTTTATRTGGCAGTTACATATATGCTATAGTTGTCCGATCTGAATAATATGCCATAGAAAACGATCAGTTTGTATGAGAGCTATATGCTATAGTGGTCCGAAATCGGCAATCCCGGTAAAATGGAAGCGTGCAAAATATGAGGTCGATATCGCAAAAACTGATTTACCACTTCGCGTATATACAGACAGTTAGARACATATGTATGACTAAATCAACGCAGCTCGTTACACTGATCATCTACATATATTTATGTATATCTAACTAGGATTTTCACTTGAAAATTTTGCAATAAATGTAAATATGAGTAATGAATCACACTTTTCACCTGAGTAAAAATTTCATTTAGCTGTTGTGGTGAAATTCGTAATCCACCTTTAAGTACCTGCTTAGCGCTTTTTACTTAACATGTCTTAACTGTTTTTTTGTGTTTTTATTTTTAACGTGAAGCTAATTTATAGAATTCATAAGTTTATTAGCACATCAAAATAAAAATGAACAAAGCATATCAACGGCAAGCGGCAAAAATAAATAGCAAGAAGACAGCACTTTTAAACAAATAAACAAAGGAAGTCAACGTCGACAGCTGGTATCCGATTGGAGGCAATAAAACCATTCACCAATACAGTGCATGTACATTGCYCCACATTAATGAAAATATATAATCGACTTAACAGATACACAGGCGCGAAATGGTAGGAAGTAAGCGTAACGCCGCATATGACAAAAATAAAATAAACAGAACAATATTGTAGAACTTTAGGAGAAAGGTTATGTACCTATACTACAAAAATTTATGTAAATTTTATTATGGCGACAGGAGCGAGTAGAAAAGAATTCATAGTACTACGCAATTTTGTTTTTAAGATATGAAAAGTTTTCAATAATTAAATATATTGTACATTGTTTAATTTATAAGTATACATATAGTTAGCACAATTGAGAAAAGAAAATAAAATAGAAAGAATAACCTAATGTAAAAATAAAATAAAACAAAAAATGCAACTCACTCACGTAACAACATTTTTTTCGACGCTGAGGAAACAATATAAAAACGTGAGTTTGCTAGTACATGTGTATATGTATTTAATTGTTTCACAAATGTATACATTTGTATTCATATAATAAATATATTAATTYATATGTAGGTGAATAAACTTTCAATTTTTATTGTAAATATCCAATTTAAAATAGCTTCATATGTGAACATTGTCAACTCAAGTGACTTTGACCCATAATAATTGCTTACAAATTTACAAAATTGGTATATTGTTTTTAAAGCTACATATATTAATCACCATAAGGGAGACTTAATGCATATTTTTTAATTCTAAGAAAAATCAAAAACAATAAAATGCAATATTGACATTAATGATATTGATTAGCAAGAAGTGGCTTCACTATACATGGAATATGCATTTGGAATATCTACGAAACAAAATTATTTATATACATATATGTATGTATATATGGTGGTTTCTTGGGTAAATAGCAACAACGCATACATATATGTATGTATATATGGTGGTTTCTTGGGTAAATAGCAACAACGTACTTATAAAGCTTTGGCAGAAATTATAGTATAATGCTATGACGTCAATGGACCTACATACATACATAGTATATATGCGTGTGTATAWATGTATATAAAGGTGTAATTTGTGCATTCGTACAGACGGAGAAATAAAACACGAAGAAGTAAAGGATGTGTGCAGCAATAACAGCATTATTTCACATAATATTTTTAAATAACAATTGATTCAATAACAAAAGTATTAMAAATTTCCTAAATATCTATTGATTCTCTATTCAAAGAAAGACACAAATAAAAAATCTATAAAAAAATATAGAAATATTTGCTAAAAAAAATGAGGTCAGCATTTGAATTATTCGAAAATATATGAAAATTCGCATACCGCTCAATATGTTTATTATATTAAGCACCTATCTCTTTATTTTGAAAACTTTTGTTTTGCTTTTCAACTTCGTTACAAGAGTCAAAGTGACTACGTGCCGTTGTAGCAGSACTGAGTGGTGAGTCGGACGTGTGTGTCGACAACAGGAAAATGGCGTTAATACAAAGGCGCAAAAAACCGGAACCAAAAGCAGATGCAAAGGTGGTGGTGTCCGACAGTTAACAGATGTGATGCATATAGTATGTACATATGTACATACATACATACATATTTACACGATTATTACAAGCGGAAACGTCTGGCATAACAAATGGCGGCTTATATGAGCAAAAGCTAAGATATAACCCAACAGCAAATCATTCAATATCTACCCATGAACCTTAGAAATTCGCTTGTTTACTAAAACAGGCRTCCAATTTTATCTGCTCACTTTTCTACTTTATTTTCGTAATGTCGAAAATAGCGCCTGCGCCAACACCGCCACTCTTCTAAGCTTGCTTTTATTTTAGAAAAACCAAATTTATTCTTATATATTCTATCGTTTTTTTTTTTCTATCTGTTTTTTTTTAGGGGGGAGAGGGTTTTGAGGCTTGTATTATGTAAACTTTCTATTCTTATATACTTTCAAACCTCAAAGAAACCGGTGTGTACAAATAAGATTTTCTTAACCATTTAATTATCAATTTTCGTGTTATTGTATTTATGCAAATAATTTTAGGCAAATAAAAGCCATAATTTCAAAACCAATAGGGCACACAATGGCACTGTCAATAAGCCAAACAACACCAAATTTTACCTTTTGACTATCACTTAAAAGTCAACAAATACAGAAGTAAATAAGAAAATGAAAATGCAAAAATAAATTAAACTAGATAAGTAATGGAAAGAAAACTGGTATGTACCTACGTAAATGAAACACAACTACAAATGTACATACACAAAAACAAAGTTAGCCACGAAGAGATACTCGCTGGTTTGACGCCGATAAAAGGTAAACAACACTTCAAAATAAAAACTAACAACAACTTTAAAAATGTAGTAGCTGAAAAAAATGCCAGACAAAAGGACGAGAAAGCTCTCAAAAATGGCTGCTGAGTGGAGTGGCTTCTAAAATACCAACGATTTATTAACGTGGCAAAACAAAAAAAAAACGACATCTAAGTATGTAGACATGTAACATGTAGACTGTTGTAGATAATATAAAWTACAAATGTATTTATRTATGCACAATTKTAAACTACTTACCGCCAAGCAAATCTTCGCCCGTTTTTGGTGGAGTCGAGGTCATCTTGTTGGATTTTAGTATATGTGTGTGTGCTTTTGGGCGCTTGATATATGCAGTCTGCTTTTAATTCCACACTTCTTGTTTATTTATAAAGGTATCACTAATCGACGGACGGCTGGATATGTGCGTTGTAAATTTAAGTGATTTATAGAGAGCGTACTTTTTTTGCGTTCGAAATGTAAGTAAAACAAGTGAATACTAATAAAATGTTTAACCTCACAACCAYAAACTCAAACCAAGAAATTATGAGTAAGAGATATCCTATCAACCAATAATTTGCTTTTAAATTAWTTGAGGCTCCCACTCAATCAAACAATCCGTTTAAAATTGAAAAACACGAATGTTTTTTTAATTAAAAACTTTGCAGGCTTGTGCGAACACTATTTTTCTATTTTACTTCAAAAACTTTAGTAAATCGCTAGAACTGATACTGCAATTTTACTTTTGTTTAGTAAAACGCCTATTATATYCCTAATGCGTTTTAAATAAAAGCGTTCGAAGCGAGTGGTATATATGTATGTGTGTATATATATATATATCGCAATTGTTTAAGATTTCTACAAATATTACCGTTCGCGGCGAACGAAAGTCAACGAATGGCACGAAGCGGCGACTTGTACAAAGAACGAGCAGATTWTTTTTTTGAATTTATAAAATGTGGCCACATAGAAAAAAAATAYATTACCTAAAGCCATGTTTACATTCATTATAATTACATTGAAATATAAATGCAAACAATTACTTAGGAATATTAATTTAATATCTTATAACGGTTTGATATATTTTAWTTTAGGTCTTTTACTAATTGAATTCGATTTCTTACAAAAAGTAAAGCAAGTTAWCAATATCAACTTATTCAATCTGGCAACATTTTACTAGAGAAATTTATATTTTATTTATATTTTTTTAACAATACGCAATTAACATATAATTTGGTTTAATAATTGTCTGTACTTATAATTTTATAAAAAAAATAACTTGAGTTGAATATCAAATCAACTTGTTATCGTTCYATGTTTTATTTGACATTCGTAAATATGCATACCCACTTACACATCACTGAATTAGCAGAAGAAACAACTAGCAAAATAACAAACGTGCCCTTTTTCTTTAACAGCGCAGCAATTTTGTTCCTCCTTCTATTTCAATTCCTTAAAATGTTTGAAAATATTAATCTTTAAAACGACGACAGTTGAGTATTGCTGAAATTGAGAACTTAGATTTGTAGCCATTTTTAATTAAAATAATTGTGGAACCACGGTGAAACATGAGAATCGCGGATGTGCTCCGCCGGTTGGATGCATATCCACGTACKCTTGAGGATTTCAGTGTGCGCACTGTAAGTGGTGCTGCAGGTAAATTTTTATAAAATTATAAAAAGGAAAAATCCAACAAATTAATTTTACTWTTTTATTTCAGTTACCCTAATCAGCACCAGCATCATTRTTATACTGATATTTCTAGAATGCATTGCCTACATGCGTCCGAATCTCACAGAGGAGCTGTTTGTAGATACTACACGCAATCACAAGCTACGTATCAATTTGGATTTAACAATACACAATTTAGCTTGCAGCTGTATGTAATTATAATTTTCACATTATTTGCCTGTGATTTACAAATATTTTTGTTTTTGTAGATGTCTCACTGGATGCAATGGATTCTTCAGGTGATCAACATTTGCAAGTTGATCATAACATTTTCAAACATCGTCTAGATTTACAGGGTAATCCAATGAAAGAAACTGAGCCTATAAAAGAAATTGTTGCTGTGTCGCCATCAAATAAAAATACCACCTGCGGTAGTTGTTACGGCGCCGAGCGTAATAGTACACAGTACGTTTCATGGATATATAAAATCTTTTTAACTGGAATTTTAAAAGTTTTTCTGCTCATTTAGATGCTGCAATACTTGTGAAGAAGTGTTGGAGGCTTATCGCCACATGAAGTGGAATGTGCAATTAGATAAAATCGAACAGTGTAAGGACCAGTTTAAACGCAATGATATTGATGCTTTTAAAGAAGGTTGTCGAGTGCAAGGCCACTTAGAAGTCAATAGAGTAAGTATTATGTAGTGAAAGTAAATGAAAAATGTATAGTAAATATTGTTAATAAACAAAATTTCAGATGGCAGGTAGTTTCCATATAGCACCTGGTAACAGCTTCTCAATTAGGCAATTTCATATACATGACTTTCAATTCTCCGATGTGAAATTGGACCACACAATTAATCATTTGTCTTTTGGTGATAAAATTGAATTTGCCAAGACGCACCCACTTGATGGGTTACATGTGGAATCAGACAAAGGTAAGTGAAAAAAATATAGACTTATACGAAATGAAACATAGAATAATGAATCACACATTTTTCAAACCTATCTGAAACTTATTATCCCGTTCCCATGCCAGTGTAGTCTATGTATTTCTATCGGCCTTCGACTGTCAGCTAGGCAGAATTCTGCAACTACAAGAACCCACTAATACTCCATTCTTCCAGTTATTCCAAACAAAATTTTCAAAAACAAAATTTTTATATGTTTAATATACATATAATATATAACTTCTAAATGAATTCCATTAAATGATTACTCAAAACTTAGTATTACGTAAAAATCCCGAAAATATGTTGGACATGTCGTTGTCATGCATGCCTTACAAAATAATTTATTTTAGCAACGAATACCGGTACCAATGGCCATGAAAGTACCAAATGTTCCTCCACCCTGCAACATCACTTTTCCCACATTGTTGATTAACTCGCGTCCTCGCAAACCATACCTGTAAATTAGAGAAATTATTAAAAATCTTAATAATCTTCATTCGTTCGAACAGCAAACTTTGAGCCGCATTTTGCTGGCCCATTATGTAATTAAATGAAGTTGCATCAGCCGCTTCGTTTTTAAGCGTAATACTCACCGCAACGCAGAGAAGCCGCCAAAGAGTGCACCACTTGCCATGCCCACACAAAAGCCAATTGTGAATCCAGTCTTCATTTTATCAAAACATGATGGGCCTTGTGCTTGGCCAAAAGCTCCACTAGGCAAAGCTGGCATTCTAGTTTGTTAGCGTATTTTGATTAGTAAGTTTATTGCACGTGGAATAATGTTTTTGTTTCGCGGTAGACAAAAGTTAATTTTGGTTTGTATAACAACSGAAGCTTAAAGTTATATATTCGCAAACCGATCTAAAGGATTATAGAATTTCTTCCCATGCGAATTACACGCGATTTCGTACTATGTCGTATATTTTTTTTGTGAGAAATGTCATAAAGACAAAGAGAAAAATGACAGCAAAYGTGCGATAATAAACAGAGAACGCCTAAATAAATTCAACATTCTGTTCTCAAGTTTGCACTAGAAATTTAAAATTTATGAACTATACCTATATGAATTTTTTATTGTGTTAATTTCACCTATTTTACGAGTCTTTAATAATTATAATGTAAACTTATTTAAGCGAAKTTTATTAATTAACAATATGGTAAAATGAGTTAAAAGAGAATTAATAATACAGAGCGCCCTCTATTTGTGATTYTCTGTAATCGTAAAAGGAAACAATATAATTGTATTTTACAATTCCTTTTTATTAGTGATATTTTAACATTTAAAATAYGTTTTTGTTAATATCCAACATTTTTTAAAACATAATTATTTTATTTAATAGATGTAAAAAGCGAAATGTATAATTACTATTTGAAAATTGTGCCTACAATGTATGCAAAAGTGAAGAGCCCGCCCATACATACCAACCAGTTCTCAGTGACGCGCTACAAGAAGGACCTTTCRAATAGGGAGCGTGGAATGCCGGGTATTTTCTTCAGTTATGAATTATCGCCGCTGATGGTGAAATATGAAGAAAAGCRAAGGTAGCACTAAATATTTAAACAAATTTATAAGCCAGTATACTCAAATTTTGTTCGTAGATCTTTTGGCCACTTTGCCACGAATTGCTGTTCTATAATCGGTGGGGTTTTTACTGTTGCTGGGATTATTGCCGTCTTTCTGAACAGTTCGTTAGAAGCACTGCAGCGTAAATTGGAAATAGGAAAGCTGAGTTAACAACACACGCGATGCACAATATTCTTTACGAAATTTTTCAAATTGTTTACATGAATTTACCAGACTGCAGGTTATATTTATAGACCACTTACGACAAAATGTCGCTTCCTTGTAAATACATTTATATTACATGTATTTATGTATTATTGGAAGCGTTTGCGTGCACATTCCGGTGCTATGTTTTCTAAGAATCTCTTCAACATATATATCATGCATTTAACTTTATGCTTGTGTCATTCAAATTTTTGTTTCTATTAATTTGTGTTTTGCCTCTTACTTTCCACATTTCGAACATTTTTCCCTGTGTATAATGGATTTTATATATTGACTATTTAAAAAGTGTAAATTTTGTTTTATATTTTAGCTCAAATTCGCATAATATAATATTTATATAATATTCAATATCTTGTTTGTATTTTAAAATTTATGTGGTACGTTTGCCTACAGATATGAAACCAGACGTATTGGAAAAGTACTTAGCGTTATTCTCAGTTTGCGATTTCTCGGCAGCCTGCGGGTTTACGATTTCCAAACCTTGCAATGGTGTGAAAGCGACGCTTGAAGCCGTACCTGAAATTTGTCGCTTCACAGTTGTGCTACCGCCGTAGACTTGTTGTTTCTGTAAGTTCTTTTGCAGCGTTTTGCTAATGCGCACCTTAGTCTTTTCATCAACTTGTGGTAAACGTATACGACCTGTGCCAGTTTTGCCAATTGTACCGCGCGAATATCCCAGATCACCTTGGTAGGCATCCTCTTCGATCTAAACATTTTTTTTATTAAAACTCAATTCGCTGTTAATTAAAAAATGTTCACACTTACATCACCAAAGTTCATGCGATTCGCTTGTTTACGGAATTCCGTAAGGGCATAGCGTTCCTTCATCTTACGCACACGTTTGCCACCACGTTTTTTCTTGCTACCCTCTATGGGCTTACTTAATGGTTTGATAAATTTGACTGGCGGTGGCTCCTGCAACTTGTCCAACTTTTTTTCAATATCCTCCTTGAACTTTAAGCCTACTTCACCATGCACACTCTCATGGCAAGCATCGACACGTGCCGCGAGTACAGCCTTAGCTGCAACTAAACGAGCTGCTTTTCGTCTGAGATCCTGTAAATATATAAACAATGTTTTAGGAACGTTGATATAGATTTAAAAATGTATATTTTAAAATATTAACGAACCGGTGGCGTATCTTGCACAATCTGTGAGAAGTAAACATAACCAGTGTGGGGTAGCATTTGTGTTTTAGAGAAACTGTAAATATTTAAAGTAAGCCAATGTTGAAACAAAAATGCTATAAATCATATACCCTGCTAAAGTTTTCTTTTGTGAGCCCAATACTTGCACATTACAAGCAGGCATTTTCGATAATTTGGTTAAACCGCCCGCAATACCCAGTAATTTTGCTGCGGTGGAAGCACCAACAATCATTGATAGATTTGGTGCAATAAAGGTCATACGACTTTCTACATACTCGTAAATATGAGATTTGTAGTTATTTAAATCAATGGCCATTTCACAAGCTTCATCAATCTGTGCCTTTTCTGTGGCTGTCAACTCAGTGCTACAAATACAAAATGTTATTTTCAGCAATTTATAATTTGTATATGAAAATATGCTGGCTACCATTACTTACCCTTGCGTGGTCGAAGCTGTTACTGAAACGATCATTATTGTTGCTTGCGTTAATATGGCTTGCAATTTCTCATTATTCTTTACTTGCTCTAGATCATTGCCCAATTCCTTCACTGCATACAAATATTCAATTTCACCGACAATCAATGAGTCCAGTTCAGGAAAACGTTTTTGGTATTTCTCTTTGGTAAATTTGTGTATAATGGCTAAACAGTTGCAAAATTATGTTACCTGCCAAATTTAGTGAAATAATTTACATGCTAATCTTACATATTTCATTATCGATATCAACGGCAATCGCATTTGCTTCAACAATTAGCTGATACTCTGGATCGGACTCCACATTTCCCAGCATCTCTGCAGCAGTACGTTGTCTACTTCCGTACTGCTCGATTTGTTTCAGCACATACTGCAGTCGTTCGGAATCACGCAATTTACATAGATCTCTAACAGATTGCACTTGCACATCAACTTCCATAAGGTTGAGTTGTGGCTTAAGTAACTTTTCTGATAACTCTTGTGTTTTTTCCGGCTCATCTTCCTCTTCCATCTGCAAACGACGATGCTTTTATTGTTGCAATATAAATTTTTAAATTTTTTACTTACATTTTGCAACTCGTCCAAATCGTTATCATTGTCTTCCTCTAGATCAGCTAGCAGTTCATCGGCTAAAGACATTTTGAAAAGCTTAGTTTATATTTTTAAAGAAAGTTTAAAAACAATACACTATTTGCAATTATTGGTGAAAAACGTTTACAGCCCGTTATTTGACAACTATTAATGAAACAGCTGTAAAGTATTTTGGCATTTGCTTGCGTATGTAAACAAAAACAATGAACTGTGTGGCCAAACTCCTATTTGAAGGCATAATATAATAAATTGTACAAAGATAAGATATTCTTACATTTTTATTAATATTAGGCTGTAATTTCTTGTTAAAGTAAACGGTAAAGACCGTTTTTATAAAATTTTAATATTGATTTGTATATTATTGAATAATAATAATGATTTAGCACATTAAAGACATTTCAGCGAGGTATGACTGTTGTGCATAAATTCAAATGTCATCAAATTGCGCGGGTYTTTATCGCTTGGTGCGAAAATAAAACAAAAGCTTTCTATTTGCGCAGGACATTAAATTCCTCCCAGTTATCTTGTGTGATATAATTAATTCGAAGAAAAATGTCGAAGAAATTAAATAAAAGTGGTAGTGCCGGTACGCCTAACAATAATCTCTTCAAATACTTTTCACGTTCACCACGAACGCCAAACAGTATATCCAAAACACCCAGTGAGGAAGAAACCAAAAAATCTGCAGCAAAAGCTGAAAAGGAGAACTTACAAGCTGGCCATAGCAATGAGGATAATGGGCCTCTAGCTAAACGAAAGTTAGATGTTGAAGCTAATCAGAGTATGAGTAATACCATGGATGTTGATGAGGATGATGAAAGTATTACAATTAAACGCCCGTCCTATAAAAGACATCGCATAATATTGTCCGATGATGAAGAGGAAATCACAATTAATAAAAACGCAAGTGAGAAGAATAATAGTAGGAATGAATATAAGTCAAGCGACGGGGATAAGGCATCTAGTAGTGAAGACGCAGATTCGCCACCACTTACAAAAGCTCGTACCAAGGTTGACATTCAGCTTATAGCTTTTTAAATGTTTATTAATATCTTTAACTTTTTAAGAAAACTGATGAGCCAACGCAGAAGAAACCTAAACTGGAAAAGAGCAGTTTCATGGAAAAGCTGGCTTCTCTGCAAGCCTCAGCAGCTATCTCAGACGCTAAAGCGACTGCTAAAAATGATGCAAAATATGAAAAAATTGTGTGCACAACGTCCACATTGGACGAACCGGTAGTGTGGCCCCATCAAAAGCTTGACTTTCTGCAACCAGATAAGATAAAAGATAAAAATGGCAGGCGCCCTGACCATCCGGACTATGATCCTACGACATTACATGTCCCAGAAAAATACTTGAACTCCTTATCACCTGTGAGTAGTGGCAAAAATGCTGTTTATTTTCATGTTTCCTGACAAATTRTATAACTTACAGGGTGTGCGTCAGTGGTGGGTCTTGAAGTCAGATAACTATGATTGTGTGCTCTTCTTTAAAGTGGGTAAATTCTACGAATTATATCATATGGATGCGGAAGTTGGTGTACAGGAGCTCGGTTTCGTTTATATGCGTGGGGAATTCGCACATTCCGGTTCGCCGGAAGTGAGCTTCGACAAAATGTCTAGTATACTGATTGACCGCGGCTATAAAGTGGCACGTGTGGAACAAACTGAAACAACCGAAATGATGAGCGAACGTTGCAAAAAGACCAAACCGACGAAATTCGATAAAGTGGTGCGTCGAGAAATCTGTCAGATATCCAATCGAGGTACACAAGTATTTGGAACGCAATGCCAGATAACACCACATTACCAGCCGAATTACATGTTGGCTGTAGTCGAAAAGGTAGTGGCATTTAGGAACTTTATATTGCAACAAAGCATTAACATATTTTTTATTATTTGCAAGAATGAGGTCAGCTCCAGTAAATACGGCATTTGTTATGT